TTGAGATCCAGTCCAACGCCGACCGAGTGTTGATATATCTCACGCTTTATATCACGGAATGTCTGAAGCGATTGCAACGCCTGCAGACCCGGGAACAGGCGGTGGCCGAGATGTACGCCCTGGCCATCAGCCGCTTTGATATACCCGGTGAGTGTCCGGACCAGTTGTCTGGCCATCAAATGCCACCCGTTTTTATTGCCTATTAATGTCTGTTTTTAATTGTCTCTAACCTACAGGTGATCCGGGCTTCCCGTTGAACGCGGTGTACGCCAAGCCCTCGGGCGCCGAAGAGCAGGACCTAATGCGCCAGTATTTGCTGCAACTGAGACAGGAGTGCGGCGTACGGGTGGCCGAGAAGGTGTGGGCCGACGGCCAGTGCGGCCGTCCCAGCAAATGGTGGCTGTGTTTCGCGAAGAAACGTTTTATGGATATATCGCTGTCCGGCGCCGGCAAGTAGTGGTGGTTTGTGGTTGTGGTGGTGCTGATGCTGCTGCTTGTGATGGTCACTGACACTACTGGTCATCACTTCCCGCGTCACTACTGGCCAATCAGACACTGTTTGTGTGTTTTTGATAATAACTCAATGATATAATAATCTCAAAGAGAAAAAGTCTGTAAAGTTTTTTTAGTGTGTGTTTTGGTCTCAAAGTGATGGACAACTTTTTTTTTGTTGCTTAAGACTTTAGACAATACCCGATGCGAACAAACACTTAATTTACAATTTTATTGTTTGTAATTGTAATTTATAAACTAGTTTTTTAGTTATTTAATTTGTAATTTAATTCAATGAGAGCTTTGTTTTAATTAATGGATTAATTATTGATTGTAATCTCAAAGTCAGCGGTAAAAACATGACAAAACAATACTGTATTTCAATGTGTTTTTTAATGTAATTTATTTATGATAATTAGTTAATTATGTAATTTATAGGCAATTAATGTTGACGGCAATTATGATAAATCAAAAAATACTATTCAATTAATAGCTAAACAATCAATACTTTAAACTAATTATATTATGTTTTGTTTCTAATGCCAATTATGCTAATTATACGCCAATTAATGGGCCATTTATTATTGAATTTAGTTAATAACTAATTAATTAATTGTAATAATAATTTTATAACTATAACTTAACTGTAATTAATTGATACTCAATCAAAATACTTATGGTTTGTCTCCTAAGCCCTAAAAAACTATACAATTTATTAATATATTTTAGCGTTTAATCTCATAATCGGATTAATTTAAATCCTATCGACTACTAATCCTCTTCTAAATCCACTCACACTTATTAACACTCATGTGTGCAGCTATTCCTACAGTCGATTCATTGTTTAATATACAAATTGAAACAATTTGTTTGAGTTGTAAAACTACTACTGTTTCCTATTTTGTGTCAAATGTATTGAATTATAATTTGAATATTGTTTTTAATTCTGTGTTAAATTATATTTAAAGCATTGGTTTAATCTCTCATATATTAGTGTTGTATTTATGGCTTTTTAAATGTAATTTCTATCATAATCTGTAAATATACTGCAATTAAAATCAATTCAAAATTGAAAATAAATTTTAATAAATTGCTATTAATTTAATTATTTTTATAAATATACATAAATCTAATTATAATTAAATGTGTGCTTAAATATATACAGTTATGCGATTAATATTGCATTTAATATTCACCCTGATCGAAATATTTCAAGGCATACTTGGTTTATAAACTAATTAAAATGTATAAATTATAAATGAATGCATATATAATTAACGTGTATATAAATATAATCAGGGAATGTATTTATAATTAAAAAATTAAAATCAATAATAATTAACAAAAAAATACTTGATAATAATTACTGTTAATAATAATTAAAAGTAACGTAAAATACTTGTCGGTAAAACTAAAACAGAAAATTAAAACTTTTAATCATTAAAAGTCTTAACCAAATATCAACGCAGCCATCACTTGAGCCGTTGTATAATTGTCTTAAACTCTTTGTCGGCGACCAGACTATTATCATCGAACAGCTCCTCGAAGGTGGGCGCCAGCCATTGGTTGATCGCCTGTTTGGCCCGAAACTCGAGCTCCGGCTGATTGTCGATAGGATTTAAATTAATCCGATTATGAGATTAAACGCTAAAATATATTAATAAA